CCCCCGATGCCCCCCAGGACCCATGATGCCTCCTCCAGACCCCTGATGCCCCCCAGACCCCTGGTGCCCCCCAGACCCCTGGTGCCCCCCAGGACCCCCGTGCCCACACACGTGTGCAGCCTCCGTGTGCAGGAGCCGAGCCGGCGTGTCAGTGCAAGCTGGCAGCCGACTTTTGAAAACAAGAATGCGGATGCTAACCCCGACGTCACAGCTCCACCAGACAAGAGAAGCGCTCCAGGGTGGCCAAGCCGGCGAGGGGCAGCTCGGTGACGGCCACCCCCAGGCAGGAGGGAGGGAGGGGCAGCCCGGAGAAGGCCGTGCAGGGCCTGCACACAGGACAGCCGGCTGCACCCCAGCCCCAGGGCTGGGCAGAGGCTGCAGGGCCGGGGACGAGCCCGCCCACCATGGCCCTAGGCAGTGGCCCTCCCCGGGGAACACCCCGGGGTGACCCCCCAATCCCAACCCATCCACGTCACACCAAGAAGACACCAGAGCCGCTCGGGAGGGCGGCGGCCACGCTGGCCGTGCGCCAGGCCCACACAGAGGCCCGCCAGGGCCCGCCGGGGCATCTCCAGGAGGCGGGGCCAGGGGCAAAGGGGCGCCAGGCCCCAGACAGCTGGGGGTGCGCATGACGGGACGTGAGCCCGCTGGAGGTCCAGAATTGGGGCGCCATGGTCAGTCTCAGCGCCATGAAGCTGCCCCAGGCCGTGGCCAGAGTCCACCCCCGGCCAGGAGTGACCACAGGGCACGATAGACCCCTCTTGTCCTCGCTGCCCCCCAGTCGTGGGTTTCAGGAATCCGCCTGTTCTGTTCCCCACTGTTTCTGGGGGTCCTCATGCCCGTACCGTGTGAACACCCAGGTCCTTTACACGTAATTAAACATTAAAGCAAGAATAAGAGTCAGGGTGACCGGAAAGACAGGAGAAGCAAATTCCAGGCGCCTGCGCTGACCACTCCGAGGACGGCCGAGGAGGGGGCTCCGGGCCCGGTGACTCCCCAAATCTACTCCAGGCCCCACAGGGCCGCCTATCAGGGACAGCGAGAGCCCCAGGGCGCCTGCTCAGCAGTGAGCGCCGGCCTTGACCACTGACCACTGCCCACGGACAGCGCTTCCAGTCCTGTGGACCCTCTTCGTGGCGCCCTGAGACCCCTGCTCTGCCGCTCCTCACCCCAAGTGGCCGCAGTCCTTTACCCGGGACGGAGCCCCTGCCAAGGCACAGCTGCCCCACCGGGGCACCGGGCCTCGCGGGCAGAGGGGAGCCCACTCGGAGCCCTCAGCAGCAGCCAGGGTCCTGCCCGAGCCCCACTCCCCTCCGGGGGGGCCCGCCCGGCACCCGGCCTGCACAGGGGCGGCGTCTCCCCAACACGCAGGGGCCGTGGCTCCCAGCGGCGGGGAAGGAGCCGAGGCAGAGCCGGCCCCGGGGCACCGGGCCTCCCATGACGAGCACCGGCCGCTGCCATCCTCAAAGCGCTTTGCAGCACAAAGCCCCCACGGGGAGCCGCAGGGCTTCCACCCAGCCCTGCAGCAGCACTGGACACAGCCCCCAGGGACACCTCCTCACCCCTGTCCGGTGCCCGAGGCCAGGGCTGGGCACCAGCTCGGGGTGGAGATGCCACAGCAGCTCCTGACCCTGGGCCAAGCATCACCGCCAGGCCAGAGAGCCCTGGGCCGGCGAGCAACACCCCACGCCGGGGCCACCGGCCCCGGGGCCAGCTACGTCGGCCAGAGGGTCCGACGAGGGCCGTCCACGCCAAGGCGGAGGCTGAAGACGAGCACCCAGGTTCGCACTTGGTCCGGGCAGGTCACTTTGTCTCTCCAACCTGCTTCCGTCCCCGATGGGGACAGCGACTGGGCGGCGGCACCTGTCGGATGCCCCAGAGCGGAAGGCGCCCAGCGCGGGCGCCTGGGCGGGGCCCG